AAGTCCATCTTGTAGACTGGTGTTTCTCTGCATGGAGCACGTCCTCAAAGGGCAGCTTCGGCTGCCCCGGTGGCCCCCTTTCAATTGCTTCTTTGCTCACCCATCAGTTTGTCCCAGAAACTGCCCCGCGAGCCAGCGCTGCGCAGACAGAGTCTAGGGGTGGGTGTGGGCGGTGCTCAGGGTCCTTGCTGCTGACCCGGTCAGTCTGGGACTGATGTGTTAGCCTGGCAGGGGTTCTGCCCATCCTCCTCAGGAAGCAGTAAAGGAGCTCAAGGGCGGAGGGAAAAGGGGAGGGGGAGGGAGGGACAAAAAGCCAAAGCCCCCGGCTGGCGAGGTCCCTTTGCTCAAGCCACGCTGGCATCTGAAAGGCTGCTGCCCCGTCTTCCCCAGCCAGGCATCCTCACACTTAACAGTGTTTAGACAGCTAAAACTCCCCCAGGCTTCTCCGAGCCCCCACACTGGAGGGTCGCCTGCCTCCCCCGACCTTCTGCCTCCAGCTCAGCGTCTGCAGCTCTTTCCCCGCACTCTGACCGGGGTTCCAGGGACTGCTCCTTGGGGCGTAATGTTTTTAAGTCATGCCTGCCTCACACACTTCGGCTTCTCCAAGTGGGTTTCTTCTTTCTTCCTCATTTAGCACCTTGCACCAAGAGGGGCTCTGAATGTCATCACCTGTATGCTCGAGTCACCCTCCTTCCCCAGGCTGATGAAATCCTGAGCGAGAGAGCCGGGATGAGAAATGGTGACCACCACTCCCAGCCGATGCTGGACACCTCGCGCTGACCTCCCCCCGGCTCACGGGCTGGGGTGCTCTCCCTGAGGTCTTCTCAGTTTGAGTCAGGGCTAAGTTTCCCTCTTCAAGGTGGTGCTAAGAGCCGCAAGTTCTTGGATGGGAGCCTCGGTGCCTGGGCTGGAGATGAGGGAAGAGTCACACTTCCTGCCTCCCCAGTATCCATCCTCCTTGTTTCCCTTCATGGCAGAACCCCAATTCTATTCCACGTGGCAACAGGTCTAACAAAAGGACTGAGTGTTCTAGGCTCTCTTGCAGCTAGGGATGGCCAGTAGGTTGGAGGCAGAAGTGGCTGGGTAGAGATTCCAAGAAAGGGTTTTAGCAAAGGGGCAGACGATGGCATGCGACTCTTCCCCTCTTTCCTCTTTTGCTTGCTGTCTGCCTGGAACTCCAGACATAATGGCTGGAGCCATTCCTGCCACTTGTGGCTCTAATTCTTCATTCCAGCATGACGCCTGGCTTCTTCCCAGCGCGGGGCGTTAGTCTCTCCCTAAGATCTGTGGGACCCTCACTCAGGGCTCTAACCAGGGGTGAGAGCCCAGGCCCCCACTGCCTGTTTCCTACAGAGATTTTGAGATGTGTGTCCTCAGGTGTCCTTTTAGCAGTCCATCCGGAGTGGAAGTGGAAGTTCCTGTCCCTTCCAACGCTGAGCCCTGCTGCTCATCCCTTCCGCTCTGCCCTGGCTCATCCTGCTCCCCTTGCCCAGCCCCTGGAGGAATGTCATTCAAGGTCGTGTGACAATGAGAAGACCTGGGGAAATTTCTGCAAGGCACAGCAGAGATCGGAAACGTACCTTTCTCCGTGAGGGTTTAAAGATATTTCTGGAGGAATTCCTGTCCGAGGTGCTGAACGGAGCATGCGCATTTTTCCCCCATCCTCTACTAAAATGACAGTGAAGGAATACAAATAAAGTACAGTCCTTCAGCAAGGAAGACAATGGAGAGGGGCAGTGGATGAGGGATTTTAACAGATTTCTGGAGGGCACAAAATGCATGAAGAAATTCTGCTTGACAAAGCCAAGTAGAGAAGTTTCAGCTCGGACGACTTGCAAAGGGAAGGCCTGAGACTCAGGGATGACAGGCACGCTAGGCTGGCCCAAGACAAGAAAGCCAGGTGGAAAACAAGGGGAGTAATTGAAGATAAGTATAAAAACAGTCGACCCTTACAGCTCACTGGGATTCATGCCTAGTACAAAAAAGAATGATTAAGGGACTTCATGAGGTATACGGGACGAACCTGGCTGTGAGTGTGAGCTGGAGGCCCAGAATAAGGTCCCCTGCCCCTGGCATTTGAGGGGGGAGGGTTTGTTGTAGTTTTGACTTTCTGATCATTCATGTGGCATGAAGCCTCCTGGGGGGCCAGCCCCACCCTTGGATATAGGCCTCCTGGCCAGACTGTTTCATTCATAAAAGTGGGTGGATGTCTAAGGATCCCCAAATATTTGAGGAGAGCCTGAATTAATCAACAAAGTAAGGAAAACGAGAAATTGACTTCAGAGGAAATAGGATGATTAGGGAATAGAAGAGAACTACTAAAACATCTCGCATCTCTAAACCATTCATCCTGTCCCTGAGTGTTCTGGACTTCCTGAGGGGTCCTGTTGAGGGTCCTCACTCTTGGCTCGAAGTGGACGGTTTATACATCTTGGTTTGGCATCTCACTTGGGTATCTGAAATCTATGCCATACTGTCTAAAACCATAGCCCATAGCCACATATATCTATTTGCACATAAATTTAAATTAATTGAGACGAAACAAAATAAAAAAAAAAATTCAGGTCCTGAATTGCACTAGTAGGCACATTTCAAGTGCCCAAGAGCCACACGTGGCTAGTTTCTACCATATTGGACAGTGCAGATATAGAACGTGTATATATATCACTGAAGAAAATTCTATTGGACAGTGTTGATCTATAGCAATAAGTTTCAGCTGAAACTTGCATTTTAATATCCTTACGTAGATTTATACACACACACACATCAATCACTTCCTCTTTGAAAAATTATTTAAATCGTTTTTATATATTTTTAAATTGAGGCATAATTTATATATAGCAAAATGCACAAATCTTAAGTGTACAGGTCGATGAATTTTTAATGTGTGTATATCAGTGTGGCTATCACTAAAATCAACATATGGAACATTTCCATCACTTCAGAAAGCTCCTCTGCACCCCTTCCCAGTCAATATTGTGTCTCCTGCTCTCCCGTCCCCCAGGGAACCCCAGGTAAGCCCCCAGGTAACCACTGCCACTGCTCTGACACCTAGCACCATAGATTAGCTTCATCTGTCCCTTGAACCCATAAATGAGATCGTAGAGTATGTGTCTTTTGCATCTAGTTCTTTCTCTCAGTGTGACGCCTTTGCGATTCATTCACACTGTGCATATATTGTGCACCTTGTGTTTGTGCTATTGCTAAGTCTATTGCTTCATTGTATGAATAGACACAATTTGTTTATTCATTCACCTGTTGATGGACATCTGAGTCATTTCTAGGTTTTGCCTATGATGAATAATGATGAACATTTGTCTTCAAGTCTTTTTGTGGGGTGTGTCTCCCTCTGTAAGAGGATCTTTAGGGACTGGCTGGCTCAGACACCGTCGGACTGCCGGACTGACCTGGACCAGGGGGTTCCGGGTAAGAACTTGAAGGGAAATTCTTAGCTGAGCCTGTCTTCTGGGCTAGGGGAGGAGGATGGTGAGTATAAAATTTAGCCGAGAGGAAGACAAAGAAAATTATTTGGAGCGGACTCTCTGATGGCTGAAAGTGGGTTGATGCCTTGGGTGTTGCTTTTGGCAACATCATTTATTTCGCAGGGTTTCCATGTAAGATCATGGGCTGCACATGAGCAAGGCAGGGGAGCCTCAGGCCCCCGAGGTCCTTGGCAATGAATAGTGTGTCACTGGCTGCCGGGGACAGGAAATTGAAAGTGAAGGGTCTATTGTTTACTTGTCTCTGATGCCTTCTGGTTCCTAACCAGCTCCGGCTGGGGGCCCCCGCACAATTTAGAAGACTACACGTCTGATTCCGGCTGGTGTCTGTCAGAGCCTTCTCGCTGGACTCCGCTCTGGCTCACGGGGAAGGGGCTGCAGAGGAAATTTACTTTCTCCTCTGGGCGAGGGAATGCGGCTGCCTTCTTGGCCCCTGTCTCCCGGATGCCAGCCCCGGCGCCGGCCACGGTGCAGCCTCCGTCTCTGGGTAGTCTCCGAGTCTTTCCAGACTCAGCTTCCTGTGGCTCAGGCCTGGGAGCTCTGGCCATGTCACCCACCTCGTGAGCCCAGCCTTCATCTGCACAGCCTCTGCCCTCGGTCAGGCCTTGTCCCTTCTTGTGTGACCAACGGGTCGGCTTCCTGGTGGCCTGGCAGGCAGGGTGAGACCTTGTCCCTTTCATTAAAACACTTGTCCCTCTTCATTAAAACACTTCAGGGGCTCCCCGTTGCCTACAGGATGCACCTAAATTCCTGATGATGGCACCGCAGGCCCTCTGGGGTCAGGTCCAAAGTCACCTGCCCAATGTCCTCTCTTCTGCCTGCCCACGCCCACCCCTGGCGCCAGCTAGCCCAGGAGCCCTCAGGGCCCTCTGCCTCGGGACTGGGGTGAGGCAAGTGAGGCCCTTGCCTCAGGTGTCAGAAAATTCCGTAGCCAAGATTTCAAATCAATGTCTCAAAAATGAATGCAAAAAATCCACAAAGAAACAAAATTTCACTTGAAGACAGGCTCTGACGGTGCCATGCCGCGCCATGGAGGAGCCTGAGGCACAGGGAAAATGTGCATCCTGAGAAGTTGTTTTTATGCATTTTTAAAGGGTTAATTTAAATCTTGAAAAATGGAAAAGTGGATGTATCCACACTAGCAACATTATTTTAAGTTTAAATATTTTATTTTTACTCGAACCAGAATTTATTATGATTTTACTTTCCTGGCTTTAATGGAAACAAGTGCATCAGTCATATTTTTCAAAATCCAGTTCTAGAAAAGGGCAGATTTTGAGTCTGGCTTCAGCATGGCCTTGCACAGCCCTGATACAATGGTGTCATCTTTACCTGGGACACCGCCTTCTCCTGTCTAGGCAGGGTGGGCTGGTGGTTGAGAACAAGGTCCTAAAACTGGGCCACTGTGGTTCTACATTTTGGTGCCACTGTTCACCAGCTATGTGATTTGGGGAAAATTATTTGACTTCTCTTTCTGCATCTCGGCTTCTTCCTCCACAGAAAAGATATCGCAGTGGAAGCTCCCTATGAGGGAGGCCGAAAGGATCAAATGAGACAGTCCAGGACACACTCAGAGAAATGTGGGGCCCACAGTAGGCCCTCGGAAAAATAAAAAGTGAGTTATTATTATCCCCAAGTGCATTCTTTAAATGTATCTTCATACTTTTTTATTTTAAATATTTTTTGTAGAAATGGAATCTTGCTGTGTTGCCCAGGCTGATCTCAAACTCCTGGCCCCAAGTGATCCTCCAGCCTTGGCCTCCCAAAGTGTGGGATTACAGGCGTGTGCCCGTGCCCCTGCCCCCAAGGTGTATTCTTACCCATCCTTCAAGACCCAACTTAAACCTGAGGAGTCATCTCTGACTATTTCAGGAAATTTAGAACTTCCCCTTTCTCTGGGCTCCTTTGACCCGAATTTCTCTCGCATCATTGTGGTGTCCTTCATGTGTCCTCTTTTACCACATGTCCCCACCACAGACTGTGATCAGCCCAAAGGCGGTAACCATGGAGCATCTTCTGGAACACCAAGGTTGAACTTGCTGTGCCATCAGGGGTTTCTGGACAATCCCTGGTGTGCAGGTCTTGGCCTACTCTGCTAGGAAGGAGAGAAGACCAGGTTTCTGCCTCAGGGAGGGCACGGTCTGGGGGAAGATTGACTGGCTTGAAGACCAGTGACCTAAAATTATAGGTTAGCCTGGACTTCAGTCCCCAAATGGGCACTTACCTATCTATCCATTCACCCACTTACCTATCATCCACTCACCAGCCCATCCATCCACGTACCCATTGTCCCTGGGTCACCTGTCCCTCCCTCCACTCACCTCCACTTACCTGTCCCTCCCTCCACTCACCTCCACTTACCTGCCCATCTGACCACCCACCTACCTATCCATCCACCTATTTACCCATTCACAAACCCACCTCCCCATCCATGCACCCTCCTGCTCAACTATCTACCCTCTACCCACCTACCCATCCATGCATCCATGCATATATCCACACACCTACCTGTTCATCTACCTACCCATGTACCTGTCTTCTACTGTCCACCTACACCTATCCATCCAATAGATACTTACTAAATGCCTACCATGATGCAGCCACCATGCTCAGTGCTAGGGGTGCAATGGTGAGAGAAACAGAAGCAGTTCATACCCGAGGGTGATTGCTATCCAGGAGGTAGACACTAACACAGACAAATGCCAGATTGCAACTCACACGCTTGCTATGAAGGAGAGGTACATGGCGCTATGAAAACTGTAATGGGAGATTGGAACTAGTCAGGGAGGCAAAGAAGACTTCAGAAGACGGGGTGTGGACTTAATGAAAGCAGCGAGGGAGGGACACTAGGTTCTCCAAATGAAAGGTGCAGCACACCTAGCGAGAAGAACCCTCACAGAGAAATAGTACTATTTTTGTTAGTGATATATGTGTTTACGTATACATACAAGCATGTATTTAACACACACATATATTAACAAGTTTCTAAGAAGCTCATGAACCCAGGACTGGCCGCTAAGCACTGGGAATGTCGAATCCTCAGTGTCCAAGTCACCCCGATGATGTCTATGACGCGAAACACCCAGACGAGGGTTGTGACATCAGCCAACACAGCCAACAGCCAACACAGCCAACAGCCAACACAGCCAGCAGCCAACACCTGACGCTGCTGGACGCCACCATCACGCCAGCTGTTACCTTACCAGTGGTACAAAGCCACATTTCCAGGGGACCTGTAGCAGCAGAAGCCCGGGCCTGACTGTCGGGGACACGAGTCTTCCTCGAAGGTCATAGGGCACGCGCTTTGAGGACCCCACCAACCACAAGGGGGAAAGGGAGGCATCCAAGAGCGTCCGTGTGCATTTGTAGGAAAACCAGGCAGGAAACGCCAAGAAAGTGAGCCCGTTTAACCCTCCCTTCAGGGAGCCAGCACGGAAGTCTGGCCAAAGGCTGACCAACTTTATTATTTTTTTTAAAGGCTTTTGGCGAATGCACAAAGCAGAGCAGAGAATCCATATCCAGAATGAATTGGGGCCAAACACAGGCAGTAAGGAAGTTGCCACAGTCTTTTTTTAAAAAAACTGGTCATTTATCAGTTTTCAGAGCTTTGTTCCTCCAGCATCCTCCTAGGGGAAAGCAAAGTGCCCTTGGTCTATGGAGGAGACATTTCCTCAGCTGTGGTGTGCAGGCTCCACAATCCTTACTCTTTATTTCCTCCACGATTCCTGCCTTCAGTGGTGGAGTTACTGGTTAATCTGGGGCCAAAGAGCAGAGAATAAGCCGTTGGCTACTCATATGCAGGGTGAGACTTGCCCGAGCTGTCCTGTTGCAGGGGCAGGCCCTCCTGCTGGCTGCCCACCAGTCTGCCTTCCATTTCTGGCATTGGTCTCAACCTCCTAGAAGGCTCTGTGGGCAGCCCTGCCCAGCCCTCTTCCAACTCCCTCAGGACTGAGATACAGGGTTTATACTTGGCCATCATAGATTTGTTCCTATCCCTTATCTCCAGGTGGTTCTGCACCCTGCTTCCAGATTTCTTCCTAAAGCATAGCTCAGACTTTGGACGCCAAGGCTCCAGGGGCTCCCTGCTGGCTGCTAGGACCATTGGTTGATTATCCTTCCCTGTAGGGGACTGACAGAGTATTTGAAAGTAATCTATTCCGGATAGGCTCCCTGTGATAAACAAAGGTGTTGCCTAGAGGCATAACAAAGGACCTGAGCTGCAACTAGCAAGAGCGGCCCCGCCCCACGGCATTGGGGGTCTGGAGGCCACACGATAAACACCCCATAAGATGGCTGGTTAGTCAATGACGGGTAAGACCCCTCAAGGGAGGGGCGACATAAGCCATGCACAGTCGCCGGGGTTCAGCCGAAGATCTTAGGGGATCACCCTAAGAGAAGCTGGGGATGAGAAATGCCCCCTGTGATTTGCCTTACCCATCCTTGCTAATCTATGTCTGGTGCCTGGAGCAACCACCTAGAGATTCTGAGTCAGGGGACGTCTGCTTCCCTAAGGCTGTTCCGCAATTTATGGCCATTGCTTGCAATGCCTGGGTGGTTACGTACAAGGAACTAACTTTAATCTTTTAGAGTATAAAAATGAAACTGACCCAGTGTATTATTACTCGAGTCAACCATTTGTACGTGTGTTCATGTTTTTCTTTGTGTTCTGCACGTTTGTGTTTTGTGTTCCGTGTTCATTCTCTGTCCTGTATATGGGCCATGACATTCTCTCCCTGGGACAGTTTTCCCTCTTGGTTTTTAGGCACATGCTCTCCCAGACATTCTCTTATCTCACCAGCTGCTTTTTTGCAGTCCCCTGTGCTGGCTCCTCTTCATTTCACAGACTCTGAAATGTTGGGGTACCCCGGGGCTCAGTCCCTGAACCTCTTTTCTTCCCTGCCTATGCTTATACCCTTGGTGAGCTCATCCTGCCTCATGTCCTAAAACAGCATCGCCTTCATGAGGGCTTCCAAATTTATATTTCTAACTCAGGCCTCTTCCCTAATCCCAGACTTTTGTACCCAGATTTCTTGGGGTGCAAAAACAAGTTGAGTGAATCCAGTCTATTGTATCGATCTTTCCAAAGGGTCAAACGTAGCAGGTTGTGCTTTCTAAGGATGGCTGCAACAACATCCCCTGTCCCTCATGATCTTCTTACGATGTGTCCTTGGCCCTCCTCCCATGTGGGCTCTGTGTTCTTTCCCCTTGAATCTGGGAAGACCTTTATGGCTGTCTTGGCCAACAGAGTGTGGCTGAAGTGACGGTATGTGATTTTTCAAGGCACGGTCATAAATATGCCATGCACTTCTGCTCTGCTCTTTTGAGATGCTTGCTCTTGGAATCCAGCCACTGTGCTATGAGGATGTCCAAAGAAGGTCACAAGGAGGGACTCTGTGGAGAGGCCCCATGTGGGTATTCTGGCCACAGCAGAGCTGGGGGCCAGCTGACAGCCAGCTTCAACTCCTGGACGTGAGAGTGAAGGCACCTCCACATGATGCCATTGAGTTGCTGCCAGCTGTTGACCCTTCCCAGCCGAGGACTCAGATCATTGGGAGGAGAAACAAGTTGTCCCTGCTGTGCCTTGTCCAAAGTCTTGTCCCCTAGAGTCCACAAACAGAATAACACGGTTGCTTTAATGGCACTGAGCTTTGGGGGATTTAAGCTGTCTTAGTGGTAGCTGGAGCACTGGCCCATGACTGTCCTCCAGTTCAGACTGGCTAGGACCACCCCCTCCCCAGAAATTCTCCTTCTTGGGTTTACTTGGGACATGAACTCCCTCATCGTGCATTCTTATACTGGCCTGCCTTGCCCACTCCAACCACCTTCCTTAGGTCAACCAGAGGAGCCAGAGCAGACCCCGCACTCCTGTTCTCTCCCACCCTGAGCCTGGGCTCAAACACGGGGCTTCAATCCCGTGTGCCTTTGCATATGAAGCTCTCCTTGTCTGGCCAGTTTTTCTCATCTCCTCACCTCTTAACCTCTCCACCTGGAGAACTCCTACTCACCCTTCAGTGGCTAATCTAAAAGTTTCTTCCCCACAAAGAAGATTCCAGAAGGTCCAGACTCAAATGCCCATGGAGTGAAGTCAGCGCTGGGGTGTGACAGGTGCTGGAGACCTTATGTCTGTCTTTGGGGACAGCTGTTACCTGGCATCAGATACTTCTTGCCTCCTTGGATTATGGACTCAACGAGGCTCTATCTGATTTTTAAAGACAAGGCTGAATTTTTATGTAAAGTCTCTGGATTTAAAAACCTTCAGCAGGCCCATCTAGCCAGTTGCCTCTGGCCTGGGGCCACCAGCTTGCCACCCCTACCCTAGCCTGTGAGCCACCTCCAACCAGGGCACATCCCACACAGCGTTTCTAGAGAGCTTTCTAGATTATATGGGAAGCATTTGATAGTAATGACCATGTAGCTTGAACTGCCCGAGGGCAAGGTCAACCCTGTGCCCACCATCTCTCCAACCCCAGTGCTCAGCACCGGCCGGGTGCTCAGCAGGCTGCGGAGGCTGTTGGCTCAGCCAGCACGGGAGTCAGAGGTTCACAGGCTGCCCCTCACCTTTCCCCACCTGCTCTGAGCCCTGCCTCCTTCCGGGTGATGTCGCCCCTCTCTCGTTTTCTCCTCCAGGCTGCGCTGCTTCAAGTGAGCTCTCCACGCGCTGGAAGCTTCCCCTTTCCCGTCACACCCTCCACACTCCTGTTTGGAGCCCGAGACAGTCAAAAGCCCTCCTGGTTCCAGTGTGTAAATCTACTCCGAGACGGCGCCTCTCCAAGCCTGTCGTCTCAGCTGAAGCAGGACACTTACAGCTGATTATCGCATTAGCGCGGCGCTGCCGTGCAGCGCAGATCCGGGTGCTGGATTGCACAACACTGAGAAAATGAGCGCGTCAGAAGAAGTTGTCTGCAGCATTACGGGTGCTCTGCCATCAACCCTGTCCCAGTATTCCCTCCCAGAGGAGCAGACGACGCTGACGAGATGCACCCAGCTGCCGTTGCCTTCCGCACACGTCCAGATAAAAGCCGGTGCGCCTCCATGCAGCGTGTCATTTTGGTGATGGCAAAACATTATCTTTTCTTTATGAATAATAGAAGACATTTGGCTTGCTCATAATCTTTTAAACACTGTAGTCATAGTAACATGCGTCTTGCCCGTTAATATGAGATGTCCCCTCCCCCCCTCTTAAAGACAACAGCCTGTTTTACAACGTGTTCTCATCCCCCCCAACGGAGCAATAGCCGTTGGATTTGCAACTCGACCCAAGTCAGATGCAGAGGTGAAAGATTGTCTTTTGCTACCTTGAGATTCTTGGCTATTACCCCTGTGGGGTGGATAGAAGAGCTAGATTCTTTTTGGCTAAAAATTGTCATTTAGAACAAGAGAGAAAAGTCCGATGAAAAGAGTCATCTGTGATTGTATATGCCTTCGGGGATGGTCTGCCCACACTGCCGGTTCCCAAAGGACGGAACCCAGGCTTCAGAGAAGTAACCAAAATGGAAGAAAAATCCCAGGTGTGTCCAAGCCCAAGGTGTTCTTGCTTCTAGCATCAAGGTGGCCCCGATGTGGGGTTGTGGTGGTTACATAAAGGGGAATTACATAAGCCCGGGGCATATTTCCTGTTTCTGTAGTTGACATGCTTTAGTAGGGTGTGGGGCATTGGTAAAGGTTGTCAGAACGGTTGAAGGCAGGGAAGTCGACGGGCTTGGGGAGGACAGCAGACGGCTCTCCGGAGAAGTGGTGGCCAACTGCCCATGTCTGAGATGCTATTTGGGGTTGGAGGGATTTGACTTGTTTTGTGGGGCCCAGAGGGAAAGAACTCGTAGCTACGGATAGAAGGATCCCACAGGGAGGCATATTGCATTTCATTCTGAGGAAGAGCTTTCTCCTTGTTGTTGCTGTCCAGATAAAGACTAGAATGTGGCCAGCCGCGGTGGCTCACACCTGTAATCCCAGCACTCTGGGAGGCTGAGGTGGGAGGATGGCTTGAGGTCAGGAGTTGGTGACCAGCCTGAGCAAGAGTGAGACCCCCATCTCTACAAAAAAATAGAAAATTAGCCAGGTGTGGTGGCACATGCATGCAGTCCCAGCTACTTGGGAGGCTGAGGCAGGAGGATCGCTTGAATCTGAGGTTACGGTGAGCTGTGATGACATCACTGCACACTCTAGCTGGGGCGACAGATCAAGACTCTGTCTCAAAAAAAAAACAATGCATTTGTAGTTACGGCAGCTTAGGTTGGGTTCCCTGGCACAGGCTGTGAGATGATCTCTGAATGACGAGTGTTATGGGGAGTGCCTTCATGATCAACACCTAGTAAAGGACGCAAGACGGGGCAGGTGGAGCAGCTGAGCTGTGACAAAGCTGCAACGGGGCTCCCTGGGTGGGAAGGGCTGTTCGGCATTGTCCTGAATCGAGGCAAAGGAGTCAGTCTTTTGGAACCTTTCACTGACCAATCCTCCAGGGAGGCGGATGATCTTGGATGAAGCTGCTCTCTCTGCAGCTGGGGACAATGCCAGGAGAACAGCTCAGCTGAGAGTCATCAGCCACCAACGTGCCTGGGAGCTGGACGAATGAATGCTTTGGATCTGAAGGGGGGTCTGGGCAGCTACCCCAGCACCCACCAGAGATGGCTGCTTGATGCAGATGGTGCAAACCACCCCCTCATCGTGTGACTACTCATGATCTATAAGTAGTTCACAATCTAAAATAAACAGCTATAAGGGCTAGAGAAGATCCCATTCATTGACTATTTCCCTGTGGGGCCTCCAGCACGAGTCCTGGACGGAGTCAGGGGGCACAGCTCACTCACCTTCTAGCTTAACGTTCTTGGCTCCTGGGCAGCGTCTGACCAACATTGCTTGGTTCCAGCAAGAAGAGTCCATTCATTCAATTTCATTCAGTACTGTCAATGAGTGCCTTCCTCTAGGAGCTAGGAACACAAGTATGAAGAAGATAAAGTCCCACCTCTGATGGGGTTTATATTCTAGTGGGAGAGACAGAAAACAGCAAACAGATAAAGTAACCTTGCTAAGGAGATGCACAGTGCTCATGTGTTTGTGTGATATAACATGGGATAATTCAGGGAAGGCTTCTTGGAGGAGCGACGCTGCAGCAGACCTGAATGGCATGAAGGGGCTATTAAGACTTGGGGACTAGAGATCCAGGCAGGAGGAATAGCAAGTGCAAAGGTCCTGGGGTGGGAATAACCATGGTGTTTTCAAGACTCATTTAACTGAGTTGAGTATGGGAAGATGAACCTGAGTTTTCAGGGATAACTTGCTTCAGTAAAGAGAGGCAGCTGCATTTGGGGATGTAGGTGGAGTTTTAAAATATTAGTAGCCCCAAACCACGCATGGCTCTCAGGAGAGAAGACCCAAGTTCTGTTGCAGAGTGCTGGAATGAGACTGCCCTTGGCAGTGGAGACCCAGCTGACATGACTTGTTTCCTCATCTGAAAAATCAGGATTATTTCAGTACCTACTTTGCAGGGTTGTTGTGAGGGTCAAAGGCCGTGGTGCATGGAAGTGCTTAACTTAGTGCCTGGCTCGAGGTAAATGCTTGACAAATGCTAGCTCGTGTTCGAAGGGCTGGGGCTTGAAGCTAAGATTTAAATTCTATCCAAGTCCTTTCTCTGTGCCATCCTGCCGTCTTTCTCTCTTGTTCTCCTAGTTTTTGTCTTTATCTCTCAGTCTCTGTCTCTCTTTCTCTGTGTTTGTCTTTTGGTCTATCTCTATGACTTTTGTACTTTATCTCTGCTTGTCTGTCTGCCTGTCTCTGTCCTTTGCTCTGTTCTCTCTATCTCTGTCTTTCTATCTACTCTTTGTTTGTGTTATTCTTTCTCTCTCCTTCCTTTCTTCCTGCCAGACTGAGCCCAGCTGTGCCTCCACAGGCTCAGGGACAGGCAGCTCTCCATGGTGCTGACAAGGTCAGCAGGTCCCAGGCTTCCACCCCTCATTAGGGAGCAGAGATGGATGGCAATGGTTTTCCTTGAGCAGCCAATCAGCAGGGACTCCCCATCTGCTGGTGCAGGCACGGCAGCTTCCCTTGGTGGGACCAGCTTCCCTAGAGCACCTAGGACCTTCTTGGTCATGACACCAGCTGCCTTTCTGGCTTTCCCCCACCACACACTTAATCCTGCCTTGTACCCGCTCATATGGCCTCCATGGGGGCCTGGAGCAGCAGGTTCTTCCTGGTCTCTGGACTGCAGTGAAGCAGATTGAGAGTGGATTTATTCCTCCTGCTCTAGTGGTGCATAGCAGCTGGGGGCTGGCCCTTCCGGAAACACAGGCACTTTCTCCATGGAAACCCGTGTCAAGGAGAATGCTGGCAAAAAGCTACAGCACTTTATCCTTCAGAGGAGCTTTCTTTAATATCACCGAAAGTGAATTAAATGATGAGGGCCAAGAGATTGCATCTCTCCTGATCCCTTTCGGCAGGTGATGGATGGTTGGGGAAGGGCTCGGGGCTTGGGGGAAGGGGGGAGGTGAAATGGGATCACAGAGTGGAGAGCAGCCAGGCATAAGTTTCAGTCCTGCCCCCATCACTAACTCTGTGTGATCTCGGGCAAAGGATTGATCAGCGTCCTCACCTAAAACTAGGGGCAAAATGATCTGCTCTGTCTCCCTCATACAGCTGCTGTGAGGATCAAACAGAAAATGGGATGAGAGAATTTTGAAACTTAGTGTTGTGCATATTCCAGTAGCTCACTTTTTTTTTTTTAGTGCATTCTAAGGCCAGGCTCTGTGCCAAGCACTTCCCATGCACTATCTCATGCAACCCTGAATATCCTCATGAAGTTTGCACTGTCAAAGTAAAATACCCAAAGGGGTCAGAATCTAGTGTAAAGAGAGTTTATTCAAGTGCAGAGTTTGAGGATGGGCTACTCAGGAAGCACAGAGTCCAAAAAATGTAAGTCAGTGTTCCAAAGTGTGGAATTTTGAGGGGGCTTCTTCTATAGATAAAGTTTAGAGAAATTTAACAGAATTTCAACTTCTTTCTATGCAAGGCTCACGTTGCACACATTAGCAAATGATTTGATTAGTTGAGGTGGTCATTTTCTTTCAGGAAAGATATATTTATTAATAACATTTCATACTGAAGATGTAACAGGCATGGGGTCTTTGGTCTGAGTTAGGTAGACAGCAGTAAAGGAGGACATTAATTTAAAACAAAGATTAGTGGTTGGAGGGAGGGAATATCTGGTCTCTAGTGTCTCCTAGTCATTTACAGAACAAGAGCACAGTAGAGGAACATTAATCTGTAATCTAAGAAGCAGAATTGTAAACATGCTACATGCCTCAGTCTACAGGGCTTAATTTCACCTTGGCACAATACATTTAGAGGGTCTTAATATTTTATTTACTTTTACTATACTATTATTGTCCCATTCAAAGGATGAAGAAACTGAGGACCCTGGGGAGTAATGTGTCATGCCCAAGGTTACTCAACAAGTGTGAGAGGGAGAGAGAAGGGAGGGAGGGAAGGAGGGAGGGAGGGAAGGAGGAAAGGAGGGAGGGAGGGAGAGAGAGAGAGAGAGAGAGAGAGAGAGAGAGAGAGAGAGAGAGAGAGAGAGAATGCTAGGAAATGAACTCTGGTCTGTTTGACACCAAAAATCTCATCCCTTTCCTTGTGCTCCAGGGAAGGATAAGTTGTCCCTGTCTCTGTCTTTAAGGATAAGCGGTGGTAAATGTCCCTGCAGCCCAGTGGTCCTGATTGACCAAGACCAGGCAGATGGCAGGTCTTGAGTTGGCAGGTCCATCCTGAGTTGGCCAAGAGGCTTACCTTGGACACACTGGCAAACACTTGGAGAAAGATGATTTTGGAACTTCTTACCCCAGGGAAGGGACCATCTGTTTTGTGCTCTTTAAGATCAAAGACCTCCAGAATCTGTGACCCAGGGCAGCAGAGGTCCTGGTCACCAGGTGTCTGCTGCCTTATTTGTCCCGAGAGAGCAGAGCTGTGCCCGACAAAGAAGCTTCTCAGAGTCCAGGAGGCTCCTCTCATGGGCGAAAGGGATCATGCAAACAGCTGGCGCCCTCTGTCTACCTTCTGTCTGTAGCCACAACTTCTAGCTCCAAGCTGCATTCGTCAACAGATGGCCACCCTTGTTT